GAGTGAGTTTATTTAGGCTGGATTTTCTTAACTGTGTGAGTGAGTTTATTTAGGATAAAGTCCCAGAACAATTTCAATTGCAGGAGAACTCGACCATTCAGAGGTCAGAGATCGTTTAGAGTTCAACTTAAAGGGATGGCATTTTCAAGACTAAAAAGTTGTATTGTGGAATTATGTTTTACATGTCATAAAGGCAAAAGGGTGGAATGATATGAAAATATGTTTTATAAGGTGTTAAGTTGCCTTTATGCCTATTCAAACATATACATTTTGTGTGTGTTACTTATTCAGAATTAAATGTCTAAATTGCCATAAAAGCAAGGGTGGAATGATATAGAAATGATTATTTTAATGCTTTTATGTCAATCTATACCTATATTACACTCATTTAAACACACTTATACTCACTTTTGATGCAGCTTATCTGCTTATTCAGTCATTCCTGTGCTGCAGATGTGTTTTGGAGTAATTAAAGTTCTCTGGGGGATGCTCTAACCAGAAGATCGGGCCCAATCTTCAGGTTACAGTGACCCAGGTTTTGAAGGACATGTTTTTCATGAAACCATCGCTCTGTTGCACAGACTGCTTTGATGAAGGAAAAACAGATTTAATTAAATCTGCCCTCCTGGCAACCATCAAAACTTGCTTTGATCTGCTCTCACGCGATCAGGGAAAGGTATATAAGAAATGTATCAAACAACAGAGAGTCGGAAGTCCTGTGTGGATCAGCCGCGCGCTGGTGCCATACGCCATTTTGATGTGATTCTTCTTTACCTGGGTCGAAAACGACTTCCCGGCCAGTGTCACGGTGAGAAGTTATTTCATATCAATTTGTGTGTTAAGAGTGTACGAGTGTACATGTTCTTGCTTGACTGTTTTCTGTGGCAGGTTAATAAAGGACACTTATTATTCCTAGCAGTAACAGCCTCCTCTGTGTTTTATTTTTCCTTCTTGTCTGAATATCTGTGCCGACCGTTCACGAGCCCTTTTGATAAAGAATTTCATAATACACCATGAAATTTGGAAACAACAGATTTTTCCCTTAAAATGATACATTCTCTCAGTTTAAACTTTTGATCTGTGATTTGTGTTCTATTCTGAATAAAATATTAGATGTTGGCACCTCCACATCATTGCATTCAGTTTTTATTCACAATTTGTTTAGTGTCCCAACTTTTTTGGAATCCGGTTTGTAGAAAAAGATAAAGTCAGGTCCTCTGGACGGATTAAAAAATAAATAAAATTAAAAACTTGTTGAAATGTTTCATCTTTTATCCAAAAGACTTTGTCAGTCTGAGGAGCTGAAATGAACTTTGTCTTATAACACCTTCTCATAGTGGATGAACCAGTTTGACATCCAGAACTAGCTGTTCACATGATCAAGGAGGACCATCAGCCTAACGACCCATCGTTAGCACCCTGATGCTCCTTACTATTCACAGAAGACTGAGTGATACTAACAACAGCATTGTAAGGGGGACAGTTGAACACGGAGGCCTCCATCCCTGTTTAATGATGGATGGGTTCTCTTCACAAAGATGGCCTCCTTTACTCCTCTCTCAAACCATTGTTCCCCTCTATCCAGGATGTGAACATCTTCATCCCTGAAAGAGCGACCTCTGGCCTGGAGATGAGTTTACACCACAGAGTCTTGGCCTGATGATGTTGCTCCTCTGTGATGGGCCATCCTTTTGGTCAGTGGCTTGATGTAAGACTTGATTCATCCAGAGGACCTAACTTTGTTAGATTAACGGTGGCGCAACTGGTAGAGCTGCTGCCTCTCAGCGAGCAGGTTACTCTGGTTCAAATCCTGGTCCGGGGCCTTTCTGGTGGAGTTTGCATGTTCTCTCCGTGCATGCGTGTTTTCTCCGGGTACTCCGGTTTCTTCCCACAGACCAAAAACCTGCATGTCTGGTAACTAAATTGTCCATAGATGTAAGAGAGTGAATTGTTGTCTCGTTTGTCTCTGTGTGTCCCTGTGATGGACTTGAGACCTGTCATGGGTGTCTCCCACCTCTTGCACGGTGACTGCTGGACATGGGTACCAGTGACCCCTGCGACCTGAATAGGAAGATGGGGGTAAATGGATGGATGGACCTCTATCTGTATACTTGGGATTTTTTTTTTATTAGCTCACTCAGTGGATTTGCTTCTTATGTTTGAGGACCTCAGTAAAAATTTACTGGAACATATGCCAACTTACCCCAGAAGACATCTGGCTGCTCTCTTCTTCAGGGGTCACCACAGCGAACTAAATCACACAAAGACTTGGCAATTGTTTTTATGCCGGATGTCCTTCCTGATGCAACCACAGACCGCAGAGCTACCACAGCCCTCTGTTTGGAGCAGAGCTGTCCTCTATGGTGCCCAGGGGAGCAGATGATGGGGATTAAGGGCCTTGCTCAAGGACCCAGAATGGGACAAACATGGGTGAGGGCAGGTGTGCGCGCGTCACCTTTCCCACCCACATTTTGATGTCCATCTGGGGGGGTCGAACAGGCGACCTTCTGATCACAGGTTCGCCTTCTCTAACCTCTGCACCACCACCCCCCAAGTTCGCCTCTCATCTCACGTCAAAATACTTTTACTTTAGACGTAGAGAAAAAAAAAAAACACACATTGTGCAAGTAAACATTTAATATGACAAACAGTTCTGCATGAATACAAGCCGAAGAAACGGACGCTCCACGGCTCAGAATGACTCACTTTAATCTGGACTGACTGAATTCAGGGAATCAGTGACAGATTTACTGGACTGCAGCAGCTCTGTAGTACAGCCTGGTCAGTAAAAGCAAAAAACAAAACAGAAACTGGCATGGTGCATAAGTAAGGTTTAGAAAATAATAATAATAATATATATACATATATATATATACACATATATATACACACATACATATATATATACACATATATATATATACATATATATACATATATATATATACACATATATATATATACATATATATATATATACATATATATATATACATATATATATATATACATATATATATA